AATGTATAGATTACATTTTGATATATTTTCCCAGATATTTTTATGGCTGTCAGAAAGCTTGCAAAAGGTATCTGTGTTAGGATCACACCTTTCAACGCAGTTTCACCTCGGACTTTGTCACTTTGTGGAGATTATTAGCACAAAGTGGGCAATAAGATAGGAAATGAGAAATTACACTCTTTTTCCATGTGAATTTTAGGGGTGATTTTGGTATATGAAACAGGATTATGTGTGTGCTCTGACCAAGTTTTAAATACGCACAGAGCTCCATACTCTTTGAAAAGCGCTGTGTGATTATTGATAACTCCAAGTGGTCAAGACCTCAGTTTGTTCTTCTCGAAAAGCTAGATTACCCCATCCTTACAGAGAGCAGCATATGCGCAAATAAGTCTTGAACATATTGCATATTTTCTCAACCATGTCACCCAATCAGTAGAAATGGTCTCTTAATGCTTGTGTAAAATTAGAATGGGATTCAAGCCTACCTAGGGAAATCTATTTTTCAGATACCTTTGGGAGAATGGATTGAAGGAGTTGTGCAAATTTTTCCACTGTTTGCATTGTGTTAAAAACAATAGAATCGCACAAATAAGGAGGACAGAGATTTAAAAGATGTTCTGAAAGAAAGGCCATTCAGGCAGTCAGGCCAAAGGAATGGTCAGCAAAAGCCATCCACTGGTAATGCACTGTCATGGTGACTCACAGATGAAAGGCTGTCTGTCTGACTTATCAGTCACCTTTTGGCCTCTCATTTACTGTTGCCTTTTGGTGTGAACATGAGCATCTGCTGGAGTCATGGATGGACTGTTCAGAGTTCATCAGTCCAGAAGCCAAGTGACTCAAAGATTTCTTGCCGTGGAAATGGTAAACAAAAAGCTGGGCTGGAATTACCGAGGAGGAGACTATGAAGACACACTATAAAAACAATATGTTAAACTGTTTTCTCTGTGAATAAACAATTTCACTTGAAGTTCTTGTTGCTTTTTCTCTCATGCAGTTAATTTGTTCTACAGTTGTCCCTCTACTCACCTTCCAGCAAAGTTTGTATCCTGGCATTGACTGAAGAGCCTGTTTCTGGAGCAGAAGAAAGAAACCCTGTAGTTCCAATTTAGCTGTAGTCATCAAGTTAAGCTAAAGCAATTTCAGTTACATGCATAGATGACCTATTTCAAAACTTCATGTCAAGTGTTGGAAGGATGTTCTTGTAGGTCGTGTTACAGAGGAACTTCTTTGATACATGACTAATCTCGCTAGTTTTGTTGAGGGTTTTCTTTGTGGAACTAGACAAATTAAACTTTCTGTAACCGCGTATTCATTAGTTCTGAGTTTTATAAGGTGGAAATGCTTGTCCTTCACTCTTTTTTTTTTTTTCTTTTTTTTTTTTTTCCCAGTTTCACAGTAAAACTTTCAGCGAAGGAACTGCTTGTGTATGTTTGTGGCATCCAGCACACGAAGACCTCAATCCTAGCTTAGAGCTCTGAGTATCTTTCTGATAGTGAACATAAAGTGAAAGTTGAACAAAAATGAAAAAGTACAAAGAAGGTTTGAATAGGTTTGACACAATCCTGAAATCTTCCTCCATAGCTAAGTCAATCACCTTGCACTGATAATATTAAAGTAACTCATATGCTGTATGTGCCACATGTTGTTCTCTTCTGTCTCATAATATATTAAATTTTTTTTAATGCCTGGAATACCAGGCCATCTTAAAGGTATTTTAGGTATTTTTCTGTTATTGCTTGTACAGTTTTTGGTATTATAGTTCTCTTTGAAGTAATTCTCTTACCCACTGAATTCCACAGAGGCTCTCCTAGAGGGGTTGCAGCCTCCAGTCACCAGGGTATAAATCACAAATGATAAGTATATGAGAGATGTCAGCTATCACTTGCTGGTGAGCCTGTGGCATAGCCTTTTGTGTGTGGAGAATGTCAAGATGCTAAGCTTGTCTCTTCCAGGAAGCCTGAGGTTTGTTGAAGTTCCTGAAACTTTTCTAATTAGAAGAGTTGTAGAGTGGGTTTGATCAGAGTCAGAAACTATAGTTCTAATGACTTTGGGTTTTATCATGGCTTCACAACAGTTTACTGTAGTTTACTAAATACTAGTGGTCACAAAGCAGTATTGGATTTTACTGATATTTAGGAGGCATATTAGGTTCCTGACTTATGATTGTATTTGGGCTCATAGCCACCTTTGGTTCTAGGAAATATAATCCACAACATGAGGTTTTACAGATTGATATTTTTGTCCTGTACTCCTGAGAATATCTGCAAGTTAAAAAAGGAGGAGAAACCCCAATTAAGGCATAGTATCTAGACAGGTGTACCGTCCTCTCAGATATGAAGGGATTTCTCTTTGCATCCCAGATGCCAGTCTTAGGTGCATTTCTGTCTTAATTAAATGTACACTACTCTTGTGACTGTTTGGGGGGGGAGGCTGGGGGCCAGTGGGGCAAATTAAGCAGTACAGATATTTTTTTACCAGAAACTGTGTTCATTTTTGCCTAAGCTGGTTTTGCTATCAAGCCTATATTGTAGAACAGCATTTGAGTGGCTGCCGTGTCTCTGTAAGGAAACCAGGCAAAAATGGAAATTACAGTGACTTGTGCATAGCAAAAACATGAAGCTGAGTTCAGTGTAGATCAATGGTAGTGGGATGGAACTCTCTCTGCAACTTAGGTTGCATGTGCAGGTCTTAAAATAAAGAAGCTGCAAAGAGATAAGAAATCCATATCAGTCTGTTAGCTCACTCTGAGGTTTTTTTACGGTCTTGCAATTACTCAGGAAAGAGTTGCAATTCATTATCGTAGCTTTTTACATACAAATTTTACAACAGCAAAGCTAGTTGCTCTGCTGGGGTAACCTTCAATGAGTCTTCCCATGTTGCAGTTCTGTATTTGAAAACAGATCTTTATATTCTGTGCAGAACTTAAAAACTTAAAACATATTTATCCATCAAATATTTATTCTCTATGTCTATTGAATCAGTTTTCCCTCAGTCAGAACCTCTACATCCAGAGCAGCGCTACGTAGCACTGTTTTTTTACTCAGAGCTTTAACTTTTTTGGTTTTAATCATTCCAAACTATAGATGTAGAATATGAGTACCAGCATTAGCTCAGCATTCCAGGCTCAGCTGTATCGAAGTGTCAAAGGAAAATATCAGCAGAGATCAAATATATATTTTTATATTATTAGATACATTTAGGTGTTTACTATGGAACGTGGTATAGAAAAATACCTTAAACTTAAGTGTGGTCGTTAAACTGAGACAGGCACATTGCACATAGCTAGGCTTTCATGTTCTGATGTGACACAAAATTCCGCATTTGTTTTAAAGCTACACAGCAGAGGCCGTGTAGCACATGCAAAAACACCCTTGGAGTTTTTTATCTTTCGCCTTCGCAGAGCTACTAGGAATCAATTACCTAGCTTACATTGCAGTAGCAGTTTGATTTGGTTTTCTTTTCTCTCTTTGCCAGTCATCTCCGCAGGTCCTGTTGTAGAGCTGGGGCTTTATCATACTGCAGCACGTCTCTCAGTGAGAGCAATAATTCGTTTCTGCCTTTTAAGAGATACCTATGGAGCCTGTTGAGAGCCTTCAGTTATGTTTGGGCCTTGACAGGTTTTAAGAGCCGACAACAAGCTGCCTGGCTTGCTCTGTGCAGAACACCTGAGCTGCTGTCAACTGGGCTGCTGCTGTATGTTTCTCCTGCTGCATTAACCTGACATGGCTGAGTAACGGGGAATGTGTGGCCCTTCTGCTCTGTGTGGAGTTGATGAACGTACAGTTCAAACAGCACAAGTTTAGGGAAATCTCTGAACTTACCTGCTACTGTAAACCACCTGAAAATGGGTTGAGATCTTTGACACGAGTGGAGAGCAAGAAAGTTACATCTTTCTGTTTTCACTAGCTGAAGTAGTGATATCATAGAATCATTTAGGTTGGAAAAGACCTTTAAGATCATCAAGTCTAACTGTAAACCTAACACTGCCAATTCCGCCACTAAACCACTTCCCTGTTCCAATGCTTGACAACCCTTTTGGTGAAGAAATTTTTCCTAATATCCAATCTAAACCTCCCCTGGTGCAACTTGAGGCCGTTTCCTCTCATCCTATCGCTTGTTACTAGGGAGAAGAGACCGACCCCCACCTTGCTACAACCTCCTTTCAGGTAGTTGTAGCGAGCAATAAGGTCTCCCCTCAGCCTCCTCTTCTCCAGGCTAAACAACCCCAGCTCCCTCAGCCACTCCTCATAAGACCTGTTCTCTAGACCCTTCACCAGCCTCGTTGCTCTTCTTTGGACACCCTCCAGCACCTGAATGTCTGTCTTGTAGCGAGTGTGCTCCCTGTGAAGAGCACTTCTGGTCTCCTCTCTGCCACTGAGGCAGAGACCTAGAGGGTCCTTAACCCTGACAAAGAAAGGATTGTTTACCCAAGTCCCAGATGTGTCTTCCATGCACCTATTACGTTCAAGTTTTTTTGAAGATCCAAAGACTATGATCCTGCTTACAGACTGATGATTGATGTCACCAATAATTTTGTTCAGTGCCTGCATATGAGAGGAAAAAAAAAAAAAGAAAAAAAAAGACAGTGTTGTGCAGGGCTGTGCAAGTAATAAAATGAACAAGTGGCTTCTTGAACTAGTACTGGGCTGTAAGTGGATTTTTACAGGAAAAGATGGTACCCACCTCAGTGAGCTCTCAGGAAAACGTCACACAAAAGTCTGAGCTAAGGGAGGGGGTTTAGTTCTTTTAAAAACTATAACATTTAAATGTTTGAGGAAAAGTTTGAAGGATTGGAGTCAGTATTGGAAAAACATTATTTGCTAATCTTTCAGATTAAAATGGTACGACTGAAAACTGCATGGCTTATAACAGGGCTACAAAAATCCAGTTCATGGTCTCATTTTGGATTTGTTTTAATTTTTTTTTTTAATGAGAAATGAACAGAATTGTCAGCAAGTCTGTTTCTTTTCTAATTCTCCTACTTGTTTTGTTCTCAGGTTTTGAACTTGGCTTTGCTATGGCGAGTCCCAATGCCCTGGTGTGCTGGGAGGCCCAGTTTGGCGACTTCCACAACACGGCGCAGTGTATAATAGACCAGTTCATCAGCTCCGGCCAGGCCAAATGGGTTCGTCACAACGGGATTGTCCTGCTCTTGCCACATGGAATGGAAGGAATGGTGAGGGCCACTGGCTGGCATGTGCGGGAGGGAAATGCTGGCTACCATGCTTTCCTCTGTGTCTGTAAAAGGCAAAGGTGTCTTGGAGAGCCAATGGTGATACAAAGCCGGGGGAAGAAGGCACTGTTTAGCATGTTGGACTGCTTCAGTGCTACAGAAAAGAATGTGAATAGATTGACCAGTGAGAACCAAAGAAAACTGAGAAATATTTCTGAGCTCTTAGCTTTGTGTCCTTCTTAGTGGTGTGTACCATGTTTTCCCCATTTTTTTCTTTTTTTCTTTTTCCCTAGAAAGACAGATTCTAAGAAATCATTACTGTCTACCAGTACTTCCTTGGTGTTATTTTGCATGAAGTACATCTGTGTAAACTCTGCACTAAATTCACTTGCAATGAAATGATACGAAACAACTTTAAAACTTCTTAAAAAATCATTGACATTGGGTAACTTTCATATAATAAGAAATTTCCCTCTTTCTGAAAAGGAAAACGTTTCCACTAGCTGTTGACTCTCTTTTCTTTGGTGGCTCGTAGGAGGAACTAGACTGTGTCTTAGAGGGAAAGGGCATGGGCAAGCTCTCTATATAACGTTATACGAAGTTCATATCAGCAGTAGAATTGTTCTTCAAATCTTTTAAATTATTTTTAAAGGTTACATGAACACCATGTCAGGCTAGGTTAATTTGCTCCTTTTCAAATGCATTAACATTCATGAATTGGTGCATGTATGTTTCTAGTTTTCTATTAAGAAAAGCATAGTATGTGCCACAGTGGCAATCTCCATCTGTATAAATGCTCTAGACCCTTTCACTACAAACTACGTCATTTCCATTCTCACAAACAATTTAGTTTATTTCCATTCAATTATAATCCTGTCCTAATATGCTGGGGTGCATTCATATCTTATGAATGGCTTTCCATACCCATTTGTGCGTAAAGAATAAAGGTCTGATGCTGTTCACAGGAGTTTTGATAAATCAATTTTTTTTAAATGAATCCTGAGGGACAGCCTGAATGTGCCCTCAGCAGGAGGTGTGGTCCTCTGCAGGGAAGCACTCAGCTGAAGGGAGCTGGTTCTCTGCTACTTACAGTACAGTTAATCTTTCTTTTCTCTTAGCCACTTGGCAGCTAAGATTTGCCCAGATCTTCTGAAACATGCTCATTTTCCTACTAGTGTCAGGTGTTTTCGGGATATTTAAGAATCCCACCAGGCTGTTGAAATCCGTTATCTTCCCAGAGGAGCTTTCCATTACAGGAGTGTTACTCTCTCTATAACTACAGCATTGGGGACAGAATGATTTGGGGAAGGATTCGTAATGGGATATGGATCCCCTCACCTCTAGGTCATGCATTCACAGGCAAGTTGGCTGTGATTGAAAGACTGTGCTGCCTAATGGCTCCTTGGGGACTCGTCTGAAAGTAGCTAATGGATTCAGTATAGGTCTCACTGGATAGGTGGTCACAGTAGAAATAAACCCTGTCCCATCCCATGCAGCAGTTGCTGGCAATCTGACTGGTGGTGTCGGCAGAGAAATCAAAGATGGATGTGAACACTGAGGCTCTGGATTGAGGTTGTTGCTGGGGCAGCGTATGTGTGTATGTTAGGGAAGCCTCACGTGTCTCTCCTGTAATTGCTTGCTAGTAACATCTCTGTTTCCAGCGCACTGAATTCAGCGTGCTTGTGAAGCACTATGTTTGTACTCATTTAGGATTTGATTTACAGCAAATAGATGTATACAGCAGAGGTACTGCAATATTGGGCTGTTGCCGTGCACTACAGTTTTGCGCAGCTTTGCTCCTTGTTCTCAAGCCCTTACCTGTTTATGACCAGATTATTTGGCACCTCAAAAGTGGAGACAGACTTCAAAAGAGTAATTACGCAAGGCACGGTTCCTGGCTGTTTGTGTTACTCCTTTGTTGCCAGTGGAGTGTTTTTTCCTTTGAATTCCCTTAGTCCATGGAGTAGAGTGAATCCTGCACTTGGAAGCAGGGAGGATGATGCGTTGAATCAAGGTGGACTCCTAGCTGTCAAAATAATGAGTGATTTTGGAGATCATATGTTAAGGTTTCAGTAGAGGAAGTGATGATGAGAGACAGCCATATAAAGAAAAAAGCTCTTCATGAACATTGTTAGCTTAGGAGCCATGGAGAGATTTGAGAGGTGTAATAGTTTATGTCTTCAGGTTAAAATACCTTGCAACTGTCCCCAAAATGAAAGTTCTTCCTAACAGTAACTGTCACTTGAACAAGTAAAGGCTGCTATAATAAATAAAAAAAGCACACTGCATTCTTGTACTCCTCACAGCTTTCTCTCATCCTTTATAAACAAGGACATGGGGGAAGATAATAGATTCTGTTACACTCCTTGTTCCTGATACTGTCTGTGACCAGCATGCATGTTTTGCTAGTATAAAATGGATCTAACAGTGTTTGTGCACTAAAAGAAATTACCTTGGGTACTGCTAGTGAGACAGTGGCTGTGTGTTCAGTACTTTGGCAGAATGTAAAATACCTCCTGAGGAGCCAGAAATTAATCATAGGTTAGTTTGACAGATAATGTGTGCATGTATTTTCATCCATTTTAGCTGAAGCTTTCATCTAGGTTATTTTGTCCTGTACTGAACAGTGAACAATGGTAGGAGAGAGATCCTGAGTCTGATTGTTGTGTTGCTAATACGGCAAAGATAGTCAGCAGTTAACTTTGTGTTTGCTCCTGTTCAGCATGCAAGTGTGGTTTGCCCCAAAGAAGTGTGAGTCACTGCAGTACACTGAGGCACGTGGTGTTTCTCCTCCTGACATTCCTCCTGCTCCTTTTTGCCCTGCATTAGCAAGGTCGTTCTTGTGCCCACGTGGACCTACTGCCCTTTCACTGGTCTTCGTTGTGCAGCTATAGTGAGGCTAGAAATTACTTGCAGCTGGTAAAAGCATTGGAAATCCATGTAAAACCTAATCTACTCCTATGAAAACAGTTTATGGAAGACAAAGAATTCCAGTCCTGCGGTGTGTCCTCTCCACTGCTGCTGCCGTTGATGCCTTTGGCTGTGGGGGGAGGTGTGCAGCCTGGTGTAGAGCTGCCAGGGTGACAGGAGGTACTCATGCAGTGAGTGACCTAGACTGATGTCTAACTGCTGATTTGGCTTTTTAATGTTGTTTTAAACAATACCTTTACCAGGGTCCAGAGCATTCATCAGCCAGGCCTGAGAGGTTTCTGCAGATGAGCAATGATGATTCTGATGCTTATCCAGTAAGTAGATTTGTCAAAGGCCATGTCCTTTTTTTTGCTCTTCACATGTCAGAGATATTTTTTGTAAGAAGCATCCGTTTACCTAGGTACAGTGGATTAAGACTTAGCTTCAAGAGTTGGTGTAACGTTAACTTGATCCTAGTAAAAGTAATGGAAATACATGGTATATGCTGCTTCGTTTCAAAGCTGAGGTCATATACAATTAATCTCAGCAGCGTGATCTTTTTATGGCTGTTCCTCAGGGCCAGTGATTCTGCTTCTTTATATTGCTGTGCGTACTGCAAATAGGTGTCTCTAGCTAATTTCTAAAGGAGGCCAAGTGAGACTACTCCTGGCTTTTTGCAGTGGAGCTAAATTGTACTGCTGGGAGCATGAAAACAAGCAACTTCTAAATTTGATTCAGCTAAGACCTTCATACATTGGCCGTTCGTTTCTACAGATAAAGTACATAGCTCTACAGGATACTGTGCATCCACTTCCCCATTGCAGATTTCCTACGAAACACTGCTATACATTAATTGAAAAGCCCACCAATTGAAAAAATAAAAAGCAAAATAAAATGGATGTTTCAGTTTTGGCCCTGAGTTTGTTACCCTTGGGGCATTGATAGTTCCAAAGCCACGTCCCTCCTCATCTAAAAGTGATTTCTGTCAGTGTACTGTCAGAATAAAGACCTGTTTGATTGACTACATTTAAGCACTGTCAATTGCACGTAATAAGCAAGTTACAAATTTTATCATAGAAGGTAGGAGCTCAAACCATGGAGCAGGAAATTGTGTTAGATGCTGTACCAATCTGTAATGAAATTATTGTACCTATACCTATATATATGCTTACCTAATATATATGTACATAGATATGGATTAAAAAAACCCTATATTCATAAGATACATAAATATAAAACATATGAAATTTATGTATTAAAAATAGTATAAGAGGACAGGACACCTACCAAAAAATGGGAGAGAGTTAACTATACACTCAAAAAAATTATTCTAGTTTTAAGATTCTTTCAAAGGGGTTCTGTTTTGTGTCTTCCACTGACTGAAGTCCTGATCCTCCTCACCCTTCCTTCCTGGACTTCCCAGCTTGCTGAAATGAATGGGAGATTTTTGCCTTTATTTGCATATGTTTTTAGGAAGAAGTAGAAACAGAAGAGAATGATGTGTAGAGATGTTTCCCTGGCTAATAATATAATCTCAGCAGAGATCTGCTAATTAAGTTTTTTGAGGAAGGGAGTTGCTGAGAGTCAGAAATAGAAAGATGGCTTTCAAGCCTTTTTTTCTGATCTTTTAGACATTTTTCTGACGCCTTTAATGTCTCTCTCAGGAGTTCAGTGAGCAGTTTGAAGTTTCCCAGCTGTACGAATGCAACTGGATTGTGGTGAATTGTTCAACTCCAGCCAATTACTTCCATGTCCTCAGAAGACAGATCTTGCTGCCATTCAGAAAACCGGTAAAGTTGCTGTAATGGACTTGATTATTCTAGGTATATTAGCCCTCACATCAAGAGGAGTCTTTGTTTGCATATGACACACTGCTGAAAAGACCAAGAATCGTTGGTGAAAAACCTTAATTGAACACAGGTTGAAGTCACTGATTTGATGGAATGAAACTCAGCTCTGACTTACTACGGTTCTAAAACTTGATTTTCAGCTTTACTTCCTTCGGGCTGTGCAGACCTTCAGATGAGCTTGTCAAGACACTATGTAGCTAACAGGTTGCATAACTATAATCTGCATGTCTAATTGCTGGAACTTCAGAAACCTAAAATACAACTGTTGGATGTTTTACTGGTTCATAGCCTGTGATCTGATTTTGTTCTCAAAGAGCAGCATAAGGAATGAGTTTTGACAGCCTTTAAAGGGAGTGGACTACCCAAATCTTTTGAATAGTTCTGAAAATTCCTAGGCTTTCAAAACAGGAAAAAATAATTTACTGTGTTTGCTGTTCACATTAATTTGTTCTATAGCATATTCAGTTTGTGTTTTTTGTATGAACAGTGTTAGAAACGTTACATGTAATAATGTAGATAAAGCAGCTCCTGACTGTCGGAAAAATTTCTGTCTTACAGCTGATTATTTTGACACCCAAGTCACTGCTGAGGCATCCAGAAGCTAAATCAAGTTTTGATGAAATGGTGCCTGGTAGGTCACCTTAAAGTGTTATGGACAAATAATTAGCTATATCAAGTTGCATGTCAGACTGTGAAGAAGAGAATCTGCTCTGTAGAGTTTGCCTTTTCCTTTGGCATAATTTCTGTGGAGCTGTTGTAGTGGCATGGACTTTTGCTGAAAAGTCTGCTTTCAAGTATGGATTCTTAATTTTAACAGGCTTATCTTGTAACCAACTATTAATCTTAAAAGCAGTGGAAAGTCCATTCCCCTCTCTGCAGGGATGTTCCCCTCAACATTAGGTTCCTCCGCTCTTAATCTGTTCATATAAAAATTGAATTGTTCTTTGTACTGTCCCGTCCATCTGTCCCCTAGATGTAAGGGACAGGTTATAATCACACTGTGCCCGTTTGGAAGAATGAGGGGCCCATTTCTTCTTAGAATACTCGCTTCTGGGGCTGCCATGTCACACCAGTGATCTAAAGTGAGATCAGCGAGTTCAGAGCTGTAGGCTACCACCCTAGCTGCTGTTGGCATGCTGTCAGCACCAGGAGATATGTAGTGACTGCAGAGGTAATACCAAAAACTGGAGTAATTTGTCTTGCCATGCACTGGTTAGAATGTGTTAGGGTGGCATGAGGAAATGCAGTGAAATGTAGTGAGTGAGTGATTAAAGCGATTGTTCAGAGTGAGAGAGTGTGCATAGGTGTGGTGGTCTGTCTCCAGTTCTAGCGGGTGTCTTGACTGCTGTCGGAAAAGAGTAACTGCTCAGTTTTTTAAAAGCAAGTTACAGTGTATAAACATGCTTAAATATTGCGTTATCTTCTTTCTGTAGGTGAGTAAAGTTTGCTTCTCAAGCAAAGACATTTGCTGGTCTTGATTACTGTTTCAAAGCTTTGTAGAATGAGTCAGATTAGAAATTCTGTAAGGATTGTGATTTGCCACTTTGTCTTGGGAGTCCCCTCTACTTCAGGCTAAGCCTCAATAGTGGCCAAACTCCTAATTAACACTGAATTCTGACATAATTTCATGTCCCTGCTGAGGAGGACAGCAAGTAGTAAAATATTGCTGCCTGTCAGCTAACTCTTTTTGCTCTGATTTTTAATGGAAAGTTGAGAAGGAGAGGAACACTGACTCCAGCTGACTCAATGAAGTGCAGATTCAGTCTTTTTTAATGATGAATTCTGCTGTTCAGTGAGACAGAATAATTCTGACATAAATCCATTCCTCTTTTATATGTTTGTGCTGCTGCTTTTCTCCCCCCAAGATAAATGGTTCAAACAGGAGCTTATTCTCCTGGTAAGTGGGTGTGCTGATTCAAACTGGGAGGTCATGCCACTGTCTGCTACCTTGCAGTTGGTTAATGTGGGAATAGTTCTAATCAATCATCTAAGAGAGAAAAGAAAAGGATCTTTTAGACCATCAAGTCCTTCTTCCACTTTCATGTATCCCAAGCAAATTGCTCTCCTGGGAGATGATATCACAGGGGAAAAGATATCTAGCAGTGAGGATATGCATCTGAAATTGTATCTTATCACTTAATACATACGTCTCAGTACTATGCGAATTCTTCCTTTGGCTAATGACAGTTTAGCTCTCAAACAGTGGTTTAAATCACGTAAATATATGGCAGTAATGTGTGTGCTTGTGTAAGTATTTCTGCAGTTGCCAGATTTAGTTGCATTATGAATATGTGCTATGCTTTTATATAAAAATGTTCTAAAATTTTCTAAACCTATATTAATGTTACATGGTTGAGATAATCTTGGAAAGAAGAAACAATATTTCAGGTAATTCTCTGGAAAAAAAAAAAAAAAAACACCTGTAAGCAAAGGTGAGCTATCCAATCAATTTAAAATTAAAGGTGTAATGCACAAAATAAAGCTAAAAAAAAAAGAATCCACTCTTAATAGGTTTCTGTCTATTAAGTGTGAAAGAGTGGATTATTGATAATCTTTTAATTTCTTGCAACTAAACTGCTGAAAGCCACTTTAATAGAATTACTGCTCTGAAAAGTAGGAATAGAGAGGCAGCAGAACCCCGTGAGCATTGCAACCTGCTGCTTGCTCAGTTAAGGATTGTTTCTTGGGCTGCTTTATTACAATGTCAGTTCCACTCAGAGCACTTTTCTAATTTGTGGTCTAACTAGGTACCACTTTCCAACGCATGATTCCTGAGAATGGGCTGGCAGCTCATGCACCGCATGAGGTCAAGCGAGTGATTTTCTGCACAGGAAAAGTGTACTATGATCTTGTGAAAGAGAGAAAGAATCAAGACCTGGAGAAACAAGTAGCTATAACCAGACTTGAACAGGTGAGCTCCCTGATCCTCAGATGGGGAGACTTTCAGTAAGGGATTCCTATGCTTTTAAATAGATATCACTTCCCAGAAAGGATGGTGATAGCATTTTTATAGCACTTTGCATCTTACAAGACATTATCTAATCCTTCATGGCCTTGTGGAGAAGGAACACATCAATAGTGTACTGGACAATGAGATCCAGAAAGCTTGATGACTTCTCCAGAACAACGTAACAAAGTAAAGGTTACAATATGACAGCACCTTAAATTTGTATATCCAATCTGCTAGGTTTAAATGTTGTGAATAGTACACTTTGCAGCTATATTGTCATTCACTAATTAAGGACTTGTCACAGCTACTTCACACTAGAAAAACGGTAGGAATTCAGGAGATCTGGACTATGACCTACTTCTGTTCATACCGGTGCAACTATAAAATATGTGTGTATTCATTTCTGACAGCATGAAATCAATTAAAGAAATATGACTCACTTAAAAGAATTGCTATATGTTCTTTAAGGTATTAAATGGTTAATTACAATGGTTGGTTGTAATACCCAATAAGTAGAAGGCTTTCCTGCCATGAGCTAATACCACGTAAAAGAAAGCTTTGCCAGTTATTACCCTCTCTTTCCAGATCTCACCATTCCCTTTTGACCTGCTGAAAGAAGAGCTTGAGAAGTATCCAGGTGCTGATCTTGTTTGGTGTCAGGAGGAACACAAAAACAGTGGATATTATGATTATGTCAAACCTCGTTTCCGCACTATTGTGAACCACACTCGACCTATATGGTATGAGACTTTAAACAATTGCTCTATCTCCTGGGCTGATTTGTTTGCTTTTACATTTGCTTGGGTTTTTGTTTTGTTTTGTTTTGTTTTGTTTTGTTTTGTTTTGTTTTGTTTTGTTTTTTTTAAATTTGTTTTTGGTTTGAGGATGTTATTCATGGGGAAGTCAGGTTCTTCACAAATCGAAACCTCTGAGTTTGGGTTCTTGGCTGAAGGAGGGAAAAGTCTACATGAGTATTTCTCAAATACATCATGCATATCTTGCTCCTCCTTGTAGTTCTAAAAGAAAACCAGTAGCAGCTAGCTCTGTATTTATTGCCACTTAGCACAGCACTTAGCTGTCCTGGATTTTCCTCTCTTTTTGTCTAAGATTTTGTCTTTTTTAAGATTTTTCACTCCGAATGTTAGGTTTCTGGAGGAAACAGTTGTTGTAAGAGCTCAGTCCAGGTACCTTTGCATTTATTTTAGATGATTGACTCTCGGATCTGTGCATGCAGCTGTCGGAGGAATGAGAGTCTTCATCGCCAAAAGCAAGTTAATCTAATTATGAGACAGTGTAGCTGGCTGCCCTGGGAGGGATGGGGGAGAAGACACAGCTTAATATGGACAGGAGGGGGGAGAGGGGAAAGCTGACCAGAAGGTATAACTGATGGTGCACCTTAGATTGATTTTTATTTAACAAAGATTAATGATTAAATGTCCAAATCTGCCAAGCTGACTTGAATGCATTTAGCAGCATGTTCTCATGCCTGTTAGTGTCAAAATAGTCTCTCTTCTCACCTCATTTGTTTGCCCAATTCTTTTTGTCACAAAGGTATGTTGGCCGAGAGCCTGCTGCTGCAGCTGCCACAGGCAACAAGAACACGCATCTGGTGTCGCTCAGAAGGTTCTTGGATACAGCTTTCAACCTGGAGGCCTTTGAGGGAAAGACATTCTAACTGCAGGGCACCGATCCATCTCTGACTAGTGGTCTCTCAAATCACTGCATCCAGAAGAGGAAATAACAGTGGAAAGAATACTGGAAATTATGTATTTTTGCTTTACCAGATAAAATGATCCAGCAACGGACTTCATTAATCTGCACCTTGCTCCCCACTTTATCAGGAAAAAAAAAAAATCCAACTTACCTTCTACCATTTTTTGTCACTTGTCTATTTAGATTGGGCCCTCTTTGGCACAAGGAGAGTCTCCTATCCAAGGCTGCAGTGTCTGGCTCAGTGAGGCTCCAGTCTCAGTCTGTGGGCACTGTCTAATTACTATAAGTAAGTAGAGCAGGCGTGGACAGCATGATAGTTATGCACATCCCTGAAAAAGAAGAGAGTACGTTTGGGAGCCTCTAAGGAAACAAGATGCATTGTTACAAGGAAAATGGTTGACAGTTATTTCTAGATGTATTGGAGAGGAGTAATGAAACTGAAAAGCAAAGAACTGATAGATGACTTTGGGAGAGAAATGTACCAGCTGTGGTTGTTGGAAGGAGATGGTAAGGTAGCCTGGAGATGTGAGGAGGAGGCTGGCAACAGGGAGTCAGATTACAAAGTTGCTGAACTATGGGTGATAACAAAAGTGGTGTGGACAACTTAGGTATAAGGTGGAGGAGGGTGATGAAGGCAGATCTAAAAGGGACCAAGAAAAGGTTTGTTGGGGGTAGTTGAGGAGGGAAGAAGTCTACACAAGACCACAGCTGACAGAGCAGCGGGTGATCAGCAGGAGAATTCAGCATCAAATGACTTCAAAAGTAAGAGGTGGCAGCACCAATTGCTCCCACTCCCTGGGCTGCCTGCTTTGATGGTCTGTGATATTAGGAACTGTGGGGTCCTGTGAACATCCTCTCACCAAACTACTAGGATCTGCTTTTCTTTGACCTGGTAGCACCCGTAAAAAGGTTGCGTTTGGATGAGAAATCTGTGTTTGTGCAACAAGTAGTGGGTTCTCTGCTTTGTCGAGTGCTAATCCCTGCCTCACATCTCCTTGCTGATATTAATTCAACTCTGAAGTGGCAATTCCTGATTTAGTCACCCTTTTTTATGTTAAGAGGAAGGTGGGCAAGCAACAGTTGCTGATTGACCAAAGGCACATGCTGTGGTTTTGTACAAGTAGTAATTGATTTTTTTGTCCCTTGTGTTTACTTGTCAATTAGGATATCAATTGCCATGTACTTTCAGTATGGACATAAAAGTGAACCGCCTCTAAGAGCTGGCTCTGTGTAAGGCGGCTGATGTACAGCAGGTGCTGGAGGGGAGGGAACAGCAGGGGTTGTTTCTGTTCTCGGGAGACAGTGCTTGGCTTCCCGGGAGGCACTGCGCAGCAGGGTGGTCTCAGGGCGTCGCTGCTTGTGCTTCTTCCGCAGTGCTAGAAGGCAGGTGGGCACAGCTTTCCTCTCCCCTCTTAATATAAAAACTAGTGGTGTCAGAAGTCCCGTTCCCTCTGCCCCAGGAGAACTTGGGTCTGGGTGAACCTTGTGACTGCAGGTTTCTGCAACACTAGACTATGCAGCGGCAGGAGACTTCTTCCCTTCTTTCTGCTGGCTGCAGAGGGAACTGCTCAATGAACAGAGCAAGCGGTGTGGTAGGCCGCAGAGGAACGGCCATGCCTGTGCCGAAGCAGGAAGAAGTAACTAGCTACACAAGGGCCCTGTGCCCCTGCAGTGCCTGGAGGGTTATGCTAGATCTGCTGAGCAGCCACTTGGACACAAGTGACGGGAAAACAGATGAGAGAGACTTCACCCCCATCTCCAATTCCCTGTCCTGAGCGTGCTCATGGGACATAGTTGTGTTCTTGGCAGTAAGTTTTACCCTGCTACTGCTGTATTGGCTGTGACATAATAAGGCTTGACAGTTTATGCCTGATTCAAAGAGTCAGGTGATGCTGGAAACCTTCTTGTCTCATCAAAATAAAAAGCTGTATTAAAAACTTTTAGCTATGACCAGGTATTACTTGTCTGAGCAAGTTACCAAAAAGGGATGTGTGCCTTATGCTGTCCATTTGGCCTGGAGACAACATGATGGTGAAAAAAATAATCCTTCTGTCAGAGCATAAAATTGATGTGGTAAAGTACTTACCATGGGATCCAGAACCAAACTTAGTCTAATGTTTGTGAAACTCAGTATGGGATCCTTTTAAATCGGGCTGGTTGCCTTGGGCTTTTTCTCTCATTGAAACAGTGAAGCTAATTCAGTCTTCTGAAACCTAATGAACTTGGAAAGTATTGCAGCTGACAGCAGCAAAGATTGTCTCCTGTCCATTTCCATAGCTCAAAACATTAAGCAGTAACTATCACCTGAAGTATTTTAATGCTTTTATGAATGCTTGTTTCTTTGGCAAGAATTGAGTGCAGCTAAATATTGCTGCACCGTTTATTGTATTCTCAGTTTGCATAAGGCAGGTCAGTGCTGCATGAAATATGATAAATGCACTTATGCCACGGTATATGCAGCGGTAGAAAACAAAATTAACATAGAAATGTAAGTGGTAAATGACAGGTTTCCATTTTCATTGTGTATCATAGATTGTGGCATAATAGTTGCATAAAAATTCCATCAAAGAATGTAAAAAAAACCAATAAAATAAAAACATGTAAGAATGAAATTCTCTGTTATGGCTGTTCTTTTTGACAGTTTCTCCTTTGAGTGCTGGCATTAGCATCCCATTCGTGAGAGTGCATAGGGCAGCTCATTTTTCCGTTTTCTGTTTGTTTCCTCAGTAGTGGCTTAAATATAGTAGCAGTGAGAGAGACAGCATTTGGACTAGAAAAAGATAATTATTCAAAACCATTGGGTTAGAAGTCATAATAGCATTGAGGTTATATTAGAATATTTTGTTTTATTCTATTCTAATTTTTTAAAGCAATAAGTGAACAGATTTCTATTTCAAGCAGAATTTTTAAAATACTGGAACTAGACTGGAATTAACTTCTCTAATTTCTAAACACTGGAATTAATTTCTCTAAACATGTTGGCTCAACATATGTTTCTATTGAATTACTTTTCCTGTTGCCTGTACTTTCAGATAGTAAATGTTCAAAAGCTACTAAAGCATTATGAATTGGTAAATGCATAGATTATACTTATTTGCAGAATTCTGCTGCATTTCTTCAACGAGGCCCCTTGAATAAAAAACTCTTACAGAGAGTTCTTAAATCGATGCACATTAAATACATGCAGTATCAATAAAGAATGCAAGTTTCTGTAGTGGCAGCTTTAAACCAGGTTAAGAATATCTCTCTGATCTCACAGAAAACAAATACTTTCTTAGAACTAGCTGACAAGTTAAATACTTTGTACGTACTAGATAGCAATACATTAATCTTTGTAGAGTGTTTGAAAAGGACTGAAGTATTATATAAGCCTCTTCTGCAAGTAGTCTGCACTGAAATCCAAATCCCAGCTTTGTAACTCAGAAAGAAGAAACAGCAAATGTTCAAATCAATTTACTTCATCGTATTGGCGGGTGAGATACCACATCATGCATGCCCACAACAGCACCAGACTTGCTAAGACGAACAGCTTCTGTCACACAATTATTTTTATTTCCTAGTAGCTACCTGATGAACTGCGCTAACAGCAGGGGTGGAAACCTTTGCTCTACCCATGGTCCAGTTGGAGTCAGTCTGCTAGAGCAGAGGAGTAACCTGTGCGCTGGAAAGGGAACCATTCCGCTTGTTCTAGGAGGTAAAAATTAATGTACGAGACTAGACAAGGAACAGGAATGTGTGTGCATTGTTTGAACTGAGTAGATGAAAGTGTGTGTGTTGGGGGGGTGGTGTCTGTTTCTTGTTTGTTTGTTTGTTTGTTTGTTTGTTTGTTTGTTTGTTTTTGAAGCACCCCTTGGCTGGACTCTGGCCACTGTCTTGAGAGCTCTGGTGGCTCTTACCTCGGTGCACAAACAGCAGACCAGCTGCCTCTGACACAGAGCTGGGAATAACCACTGCTGCTAATAACAAAATGAAAGCTTGGGAACCTCTGCTCTACGCGTGCACATGCGCGCGCACACGCACACGTGCGTGTGCCAAAAAATCAGTCTTTTTGATTGCTATTAACTTTACGCAGCTGTCACAGACTATTGCTCAGCCTAGCTTTTTGCCAGTGGTACAGATGACTTTGAACATTATTTAAAACGTGAAACAGAGGCACGCTCAAAAATCACATAAAGCCAGAAAAATCCCTAAAAGCAAATGAAATACCTTTGTAAAGTTAACAAGTCTGGTCAAAGATGGAGGAAAAAAAGTCTGTTATTGTCTTGTGTGTTAGTTTGGTGAATTCGGCATGTTTTAATTTTACAGGCAGCTGCTCACGTTGGTGCTGGGTCACCGGGGTCTGCCAGGGCACCTGCCAGGCTAATGAGTTACCCAGCACAGGTGATTACTTAATTATGGCTGATTGGACTGGCCTCTGTGGGGGTGGCCAAGCAAACGCTGCCTGTGGTTAACTGGTTAAAGCCCAGGGTTTGGCCCCAGCTGGCCCATCTCTGTCTCCTTTGCATCACCCCCTAAAACGTCACCTTGTTTTCCCCAGAACGGAGGGCTGTGGCTGAGCCCCTGCAGTGGGTCCCTGCACGGGCTTTTGTGGGGCATTGCCAGCCATTTCTGCTGTTGGAAGGACAGGAGTTACAGAGTTAAACTGCGGTGAAGGAGGCTGAGGATGGCTGCTGGGAAAGGCTCAGGAGGGAAAGGGGGCCACAGGCTCCCAGCTGCTGGTGCTTTCTACGGGCAGGTAAGAGACCCGGCTGGTGGGAACTGGGAAGGGGTGCCTCACCCTGCCCTCGGGGTGAAGGGAACACCATCCTCTGAGTTATTATCAGAGCTTCTGAGGACTTCAAGGCCTAGAGAAAAACTCACGGTGTGCATGGGGATTTCTGATGCAAGTCACTGGCAAAAGCTGCTCAGGATGTATAATTACTGCCACTTGCATTGCAAGTGCAGTGAGGTTTGTTTGGAAAAGGTAGAGAAATGCATGTTTTGTTTTTCAAAAAAAACCAAAACAACCAACACAACAAAACAAACCCTTTAAAAATCTCTTGTCCTTCCCTGGGTGGAGGTGAAGAATGATCTGCCTTTTGCCAGGCTGCAGCCATC